ATATATATATATATATATATATATCCAGGTAAGATGAGAATGAATAGAGTAAAATTCCAAGGTTTGTAACATTTAATTTAAAAGCGGGCTCAATACAAAGTAGAGAAATATTCTTTATTTTAAGATATTACATCAAAAAACATGTCAAAATCGCTACACAATTGCGGTCGTGTTTCAATGCATATCAATGCATCTTGTCAGGCAATTGTAAATTACTGGTGAGTAATTTGCAATTGCCTGATGAGATGCGTTCATATGCATCGAAACAACTGCAATTGTGTAGCAATTTTGACATGCTTTTCCATGTAATATCCTAAAATAAAATTATATATATATATCTGAAGAAAAATATGAATTCTCCAGCAGGATTTGAACATGCATCCCTCACCTAAATAAGATTCCTTCAATATTCAGGCCAATAGAGGAAAATATACTGTTTAATAAATGGAGCATTGACACAAACATAGGTATCCACTATAAATAATGTTTAAAGTGATAAAATCTATCAGATTAACAAATAAAAAGTTCATTACTTCTTGAGAAATATATGTAATATATAAAAAAAAATATAGATCATGAAAATTTACCTTCATTAGTCAGGTGGGGTGACAGAACACCAAAAAGAAGATAAAGTGACATCTGCCTCCCACAACAACTGTGCCACACTGCATGCTACACACCCTCACTGAGTCACAAGAGTAGTGAGAGGGTGCAAAAGAAACTAAACACCCGATCTGATTAACACAGGTTATTCATGTTTATAGTTACCCTATATATTCTTTGTAGAAATTAAAGAAACCTTTGAAAATCTTGTTAAAAAAAAAATTATAGTAAGAATTAAGAAAATGAAAAACAAAATATGACCGTTATAACTCTGTCATCTTTCTTTCTGTATTGCGTATATGTAAAAATCTTCAATGAATACGCCTTAAACATTTCCTCAAGTCTTTCAAGTGGAAGTTTCTCATTCCATCTCCACCGTATCCGCCATATTCAACCTGATGACATAATCTCACGCAGTTTTACTTTTAGGTTTTTAATTAATTTTTTTTTTTTTTTTTTTTTCTTTCGCCTGTTTGAAAAAAGAAATAAAAAAAAATATGAACACTAAGTAAGCAGAAAAGGAAACTTAAATATTGAATTCTAAAATAGTTCATCAAATTTAATTTAAAAATCACAACGAGAACAATTTATGAGGTTGCCTTTTATTTTTGAATATGACTCCCCATGTCCTTTATTTTTTTGTTAACGTTTTTCTCATTCTGTTATCTGATCAGTCACCTGGTGAAAAATGTGAATATTTCAACTTGTTAATAAAGTGATAAGATATTAATGCAAAGACAATTGATATGCATTCCAATTGAAATGTGACTCTTATAAAATTGACTCAATAAGACCAGTATTCCACAGTTTGTTACCGTCATCAGGTTTGGACCTCTGTTCTCTGACCTAAACTTATACAGTGAGCAAGACGCTATGATAAAAAAAAACAAAGATGAAGAAATTGGTCCCAATGAATCAATATATATTAGTAACAACACAGCATCCCAGAAATTTAGATAGCTAGTTCAGTGGCTGAAATGTCAAAATAAAAACAAAGACAGTGAAATTCATCTGAAAGATTCAATGTATAATAAACAACCCCTCATTTCAGAAATTTCTATAGAAAGAAGGCTGGTTGATACAGAAGGTTAAATGTTCGGATAAAAGCAACAAAGATAAGGTGATTTTATCGAAAGAATGTATAATAGTAACGACATCTGATTTCAGAACTTTCGATAGAAAGACGGCTGGTTTGTACAGCAGGTGAAATTTTGTGATATAAACGAGGAAATTCACCTGAAAGAATTTATTACTATGACAAAACCTCTTCTCAGACAAAAAAAATTTGAAAGGTTGCATATTTAAAAGAGCAACAAGGCTGAGAACGATAAGAAATAGGTTTGAAAATATTTGAAAACATTTATTATATTTAAACTTGTTTTCCCCTGCCCAATCTGCTCTTTTTAAAGCCAAGTCTTTCATGCCAAATTCTCTTATCTCCCCACCCCAACCCAACACTTTTTTTTTTCCTCCTCTCAGTGATGTCTTTGCATTTCAAATGCAAAATCTAATGTTATTTCTTGGTTGTGATCAACCGTTTTTTGGATTACATTTTCAATGATTTTAATTTTATGGCAATCGTTACAGTTTTGAAATATATTTTTGAACTATTGTAGAAAATCTGGCTTTGACTGATACATTTGATTATTTACAGGTTTCATCTTGTAGATAGTCACTCTTGTGAACTCTATACAAGTGCTAGTATGCTTAACCACACACCCAACTTATTGGACATGGTCTTAATTTCCTTTGAACACCAAGATTAATATGAAGAATTTCAACATTTCATTATAGTACAAAAATATTCTAGTCTAATGCATTAGGCTTGGTGGCCAGGAAAGATTAGTATCATGCCTATTGAGTTGGGTCTCATATCTAAATGGGTTGAATAGTTTCCTTCAATTCCCCATTCCCCCCTGGTATACTACTTATTTGCTACAGCATGCTTACTTATCAAATAATTTTCTACTTGGCATAATCATTTTGTTTCAGGATTCATGCCACCACAGAAAACGTACTCTCACTTTTATTTGTATCAGTATATGTATTTTATAAGTTTCTAAAAAAATTCCCCTGGCATGACTATTCCAGACGGCACTTGTATTTGGTACAAAAGAGTATTGTGTTAGCGTGAGACTATCAGCGGTTATGTGGATTAATTAAGGTTGTTACATTCATTATTCTTTGTGCTCCTTTAGTTGCGGGTTGAGCCACATTGTGAGTTTTATTTTTTATTATTCTTTGTGCTCCTTTAGTTGCGGGTTGAGCCACATTGTGAGTTTTATTTTTTTTTTCGATAAATTTGAACTTGTTACATCTTGATTATTTTATCGTAACAATAAGAATAAAATTTGGTTTTTGACGATTTTTTTTTGTTTTTAATGAAGAAAAGTTTTGTGACTGACCAAAGAAAGCGACGTTCTGTTCAGATCTTTTTAATCGCTTTCTTTCTCTCACTTTTTTTTTCCTTTATTTCTCCCCTTCCCCCTCTCCCAAAACATTATTCAATCACTTTTCTTTTTTTACTGTTTATATATTTCCATTTTCTGTTTATATTTGCTCATAAGTCTAGTCATACATTCACACACACACACACACACACACACACATATACACACTTTACATCCATGCACGAATATGGGTGTTTTTTTTCAGTCATTATTTCTTTATAGTACTTGTTTTAAAACCATATCAAGCTTTATTTAATTGTTTTATCTTTTAGAACCTAGACTAATAACTATTATGACAGTAAGGATATAGAGAGAAAAAAAAAAGGTATCGTTTTTGACGTAAAGGTAATACTTTTCTTTCCAGGAATGAGCAGAGTATCATCCACATGTTAACCAGTTGGTTGATGCTTTAAATTGAAGTTACAAAGATTTTCACTTTTCTAACTATGACATTGTTACTTGTCCTTAAAATAGTTTTACATCTAATGTGTCATTTTAAAAACCTATTTGGTGTATTCTATAGTAAAACAACACAAACATATTGACAAAATGTTGAATGTCAATCTATTAGTCTGTGGCGGGGAATTTCATGATCTGCTCCTAAAATGACCATAAAATTATATATATATATATATATATATATTTTACAAGTATAAGGTATATCTGGCCTCCTTATTTTGAGCCCTGATGTGACTCTACATTTTGATTTGGAATACTGATTCATCAATACGTTTAAAAATAACTAGATATACCAAAATATAATAATATCAGTGCAGTTGTTAGCATTTTTGCATGTTCCATTCAGGATTTTCTTTTGTTTTTATACTTCATGATCAAAGGCAAATCTTGATGGAAGCTTAACATCCTATTTACACATGCCTGCATATTGATCAGCTACAAAATACAATTCTATTTGAAGCAAACCTAATTCCTGTACAATATGTCATACCTGAATTTGCTTCTTTAAAATTTAGAAACCAGTTTGAAATATAACAATTTTTCTTTTTAAATTTAGGTTTTGGTCAGTAGTGGACTTAAGAGATGGCAGATCTTCTGGGCTACAGTCATCAATTTCTATTAAAAGTAAATAAAAGCAAAGACCTACAATGAAAATCTTACACAGATTGTCTTTATTGCTGTAGGTTTGTGGGTTGAAAGCAAAATTTAGTCTGAAATCAATTAAGTTTCTGCAAGCCGACACAAAACAGGTTTCCTTTTCTTTACACAACTAATTCCATTTTTAGACAATATTATGTGTGAAACGTTTTTTGGGGGCGAATTTCAAACATACACTTTATAAATATTTTTATTAACTTCCTCAAATGCTTTTTATAATTTTTTTTATTCATTAATTTTTTCTTATTAATTTCCTTATTGTTTGCTTTCTTTGTAAAATTATTGGCTTCTGTAATTTCCAGTGTTTGCCTGTAGCGATTTTAAGCAAATCTTAGCATTGTATAAAAAAAAAAACAAAAAACAGTTTTGTTTTAAGTTCTAAATGATTTAAAAGACACCAGCATGAATTTATGTCGAGACCATTTTTTTTTTCAAACCTAAAAACAAACATGGTTCAATTTCAATTTTTTCCTTTACCTTTAACATTTCATAGTATTTCTTAATTGAGTGACGAAACAAAGTTTTCCAAATAGATCTTATCAATTAACTATTCATGAGTGCTTGTATATCTGCCTGAGAAATATTTTTTTCTTTCTGTCTTCAGGAAATCATAATTATTTTATGGTTACTTAGTGTCTGAATGACAATTGTATGAGCGTGTATGTACATTTGATTACACCTGCGCAGATCTGCATATACTTAAATGTGTGAGACTCCTTATGTGTGTGTGTGTGTGTGTTGATAAATGAGCATTTGCCCACATGTTTAAAGTTTGTGGATGGGTGCACATGCACACACATTTTTGTACTTTGTGTTTATAAGTTAAAAATCATGTCAGTAGCTTGTTCATATCTCCGGACAGGGCATGTATTCCTCCCCTTCCATCTTGTGCAAGGGAAAGAGAAGTATTCTTCCAATGGATTCTGTACTGATTATGGTTCTCAAGCCACAAAAAGAAATTCTTGGGATACGGATGTACACACTTGTAATAATAATTTCATTGAGTCTGTCTATATTTCTGAGATGAGGTATTATGTACAGTATTTACATTAGTCGGACTATTGTCGCCATATTTGTCACAACGAAGGCTGGAGCGCATAAAACCACGTAAACGCCAGACAAAGATGAGGACAATAGTCCGACTAATGTAAATACTGTAATTTCATTGAATTAAAATTGTATGATTGGGAACATTTAAATCGTATATATTTGAATTTCTTTATTAAATTTAACCAAAGTTCTTACATAATATTTGTGTATTAAGTGAATGGTAAATGAAGGATGACTTTTTTTTTTCTGTCTTTGATCATTATCATCATCTTTGCATTAACAAATATCGTTTACTTACATTGAGGCTTCAAAGAAATATAAAAAGGCATGATGAGAAAGTTGTGGAGATGTAATCTGAGAGAGAGAGAGGTATATTTAATTCTGGACAGTGTTAATGATTCTTCCATAGATCCATGTTTCTAAAAATCCAGGAATCTTTCACTAAATTATAGACAATACCCTCTCGGATTTCAGCAACAGTTTATTGCAACTACTATTTAATCTTGTTAGTATGAGACCACTTTAACTGCACTCTTTAATTTAGATACTTGGGAGCAGTCACCGTTTCAAAAGGTTTAACAATTAGTCTTTCGCTTGCATTTTGTTTTAAAAGAAGTTTACAAAGAGAGGCTTGCAAACTTTCTGAATAATGCTGCAAATAATTGCAGATTTCAAAAAATATTCTAAAAACTTACTTCAGTTTTTGAAAGGTTTGAGTTGATTATCTCTTTACTAGACAACACATTTTATGTCCATTATTTATAATTTATCCTAAGGTCATGGTTAACTGGCAGGTTTTTGGCACCCGACTATTTGGTGGTGGGGGTGGTGACAAGTGGAGGCCAAACCTGTGTAAAAATGTAGTTTTCCATCCATTCACCCACGCATTACAACCAAACTCACACACTCACTTGAAGTAGAGAAAAACCCTCTCAGTCTCTCTAGATCTTGTACTTTTCCATCAATGCAGTCATTACATTTGTGTGCTTGTAAAATATCATCTAGTTTTCCCCAATCAGCATTAATTGCTAAAAAGGTTCTTCAATTTTTTTTTATTCTTTCTCTGCTATGGTGATTAAGTGTAGCTTAGATGTGGCACAAGGCCGAAAGTATGAGGCACCTAGTGAGGATCGAACTCACTGTTCAGTCGTATTTAATCTAGCGACAAGATTGCTAACCATTACACCATTTTGAAGTGCCCATCCTTCTCTGCTAAGTCAGTTTACGTTCCTGTTTATGAAAACAGATCAATAAATCTGTACCCTGACACAATTATGAGCAGACTTTTGCTCTGACATTTTTCACATAATCCAATGCTTCTCCAAAGATCAAGTGCATTGACAAGGAAGGATATTAATAGTTTTGTAAAATAAATTCTTTTGATTATCATTATTAGGTCTTATTGGTGAACATATCACGTGTGTGTGTGTGTGTGTGTGAGATGGCCGTCTACTCGACTTTGAGCATGACCACTTTCTTACATGTAAGGAAGTAGCTGTAACTCAGAGAGATCATTGAGACAGACACATTTACAGCATGAGTTTCAGTCTCCGAACATCAACAACCATGACCAGAATGGTCAAGATGATGGTGGCAATAGCTTTGGTCGCAGGTTTTTAATTCAGAGTTGTTATTCTCTAACACTGGTTAACACCTAAGGCTATATATATATATATATATATTTTTGAACAGAAAAAAAATATTAAAAAATTAAAATCTTCAGACACACTGGGTTGTAGATTAATATTCTTTCGTTTTTTTTATTATTATTTCATTTAGATTCCTCGACTAGTTTCGGTTGAAATGGCCATCATCGGGAGGAGAAATATTTCTGCTTGCTGGTAGCAGTAAACTACAGAAAATATATATACACACACACAAGTATAGGATTGGTGTATATGGAATAAGTTCCAATAACCAACAAATACTATTCTTAAGAGTGCTCAATACAGAGTAGAGCAAATATAATTATTTATTTGAAAATTATAACAAATATGTTATAAAACCACTACAAAAATAGCCATTTTGTTTGAACACTTCTGGTGTCTTATCAAGTGATGGTGTTGAATTTAGAATAAAGGGTTATGATGAAAACAGTTTTAAAGTATTCTATATTTATGGATAAAAGTGGTGAATATCAGAGATTGAGCATATGAAGTCAACACTGAGTGACAACAAACATGAAAGACTGTCACCACCAGGTGTTGATCTCAGTGCTAACTTTACATACACTATCCCCAATATTAAGCATTCTAACCCATAAATATAGCATACCTTAAAACTATATTTTATCATATATGTTGGCTCTCTATCTGATTTTGTGCATGATCATTTATTTGTAAGAAAGTGCCTGTATCTTGGAAAGGTTATAGTGATAGACACTTACACAAACTGAAAAAATGTTTTTTTATAAATGTTTTTCCTTATTCATTCATTATTTTCCATAATGTCAACTATTATATGCCAGAGAGTAGAATGTTTAAGATGACTGGAGTTTGGAAATTTTTAACTTGGAGTCAATCCTCCCTTAGACTGTCACCAAAAACTGAAGAGCTCACTCTGTCCAACAAACACACACACACACACACACACATTGCTTTTAGGTTGCTTTTTTTCCATTTACTCTTCTCTTCATTTCTACAAAATATTGTTAAATTATTTATTAGTGTTTTACTGGGCAGAGAGACCATAATCAGGGATGTCTAAAATTGTCCCTAAATTGTTATTTGTCTTGGGTTCAGTACAAGTCTCCTTTGATCTCTAGATGAAAAGTTTGGCCTGATTAGAGTTAAAAATTTGTTTTCAAGTGTAATTGCATAGCTATATATCTGTTAAGGAATAGCATGCCATCAGCCACAATCATATAAGAAAATTGTATTGGCTATTAAAAGTCTTGAAAAAAATCAGCGAATTAGAAAAGGTTTTCTGATATAATCCCAGTATACATTCCTTCTCCTTGTTTTATTCTTCTTTTTCTCTCCTTTTTCCTCCCCTTTCCTTTTTCTCCCCTTTTCCCTCCCTTTTCTTTTTCCTCCCTTTTTTTCTCCTTTTTCCTTTCCTTTTCCTCCTTTTTTCCTTTTCTCCCTTTTTCCTCTTTTTCTCCTTTTTCCTTTTTTCTCTCCATTTTCCTCCCTCTTCCTTTTCTCCCCTTTTCCTCCCTCTTCCTTTTTTCTCCCTTTTTTTCCTTTCCCTCCTTTTCCTTTTCTCCCCTTTTCCTCCCTCTCCTTTTTCTCCCCTTTCCTTTTTCTCTCCATTTTCCTCCCTCTTTCCTTTTTCTCCCCTTTTTCCTCCTCTTTTCTTTTTTTAATCTTTTCCCCTTTTTTTTTGTTTTTGCTATTCTTTTCTTTCTCCTTTTTCTTCTAAGATTTCTTTGTGCAACATTCTTCATTTTCATTTTCTCCTTTTTTTTTTTTTTGTCTCTACTTTCCTGTCCCTCAAGAAAAAAAATAAATACAGTTTCTCTTTGTAAGAATTCCTCCAATTCCACATATTTTCCCATTACTTTTTGTCCCTTATCGGGTCACGTGTCTGTTCAGGTGAGATGTTTTATGACCGAGCACCTTTAGTGGGAAAAAAACAAAAAAAAAAAAAAAAAAAAAAAACTCAATTCATCTTTCCTTAACATTCTTTTAGAAGGCAACAATTGTAAAACATTATAGACATATATATTATATATATATTATATATATTTAAATAGTTAGCCCAAGATAACTCTTTTGAACACAGGCGAACTTGCTCCCAGTACAGTGGTAGCTGAAGGTTTGGCTATGGTCTCCTTTATTTATATATATATATATATATATATATATATATGGGAAATATTTGGATTAGTTTTTAAAATAAGTACTTTCTGCTTACAAGGTTACTTAAATCATCTAGACCTTTGAACATAATTACCATTATTTATATACTTGTTGAGTGAATATATTATTTTGAATGACTTGTGTGTTTGGGCATATGAGCCTATGTATGTACATATGTTAGTACATTTGGATGTGTGCGTGAGTATGTATGCCTATGTATGGATGTATGCATGTGTACCTATCAATGTAGTGTATTTTTTCTACTTTTTCTTCCATCTTTAGTCGAGTGCGTGTTTTTTTTAAAAAATTTGTGTGAGTATGTAATTTTACTTTAAACCTAGCAAATTGAAAATAATAAAAAAAAAAAAATAACTATTTGTTTTTGCCAAGTAAGAAAACTTACCAAATAAGGTAATATTAAGTCATCTTTTTTTTCTTCCCACTAATTTTAGAGAATTGGTTTCTCTTTGTACTTATGTGATATTCATTGTAAATCTTCTATCTTCCTTGTATTGATTGTCGAACTGGAATGACGCAATTTAGATGTCAATGGGAGTGCGGAAGGAACATCAATTCGAAGTTTTGCCTCTCCCCTATTCTACTTGATTGTAAGTAACTGACTTTTTCTCTGTTAGTCTTGGTCATTGTTCAAAGCCATAATATGCAACTCAGTGCAACAAGTACCACAAAGCACTTGGTATACCAATAAATATTGTTACATCTTTAAAACAAAGTCTTCTGGCTTATTCTTTTAAAAAAAAAAATTGTCTTTATCTTTCTCTTGTTTCATTGTTTCCAGCAGGTAAATTCCTGGAGTTTAGAGTCCTAAACTTGACACTGTTGCTCAGTTGTGGATTTGAAATATCGTTGCAGTAATTCTGAAGATCCCAACAAAAAACTAAATCAACGGTGGACAATGTCTTTTTAACATTCACTTTATTTCAGAAGAAGTCATAGCATTTTTTATAATGGGGCTATGAGGGAGGGTGAGAGAATGAATATGCATATCAAACGGTTGGCCAAAATCTCATCACTGCATACTAGTTTACCTCAAGAAAGAATCTGAGTATGGCAATGTTATATTCCATGCTAAGGGAATAAATACTTAATACCAGGTGGATACTAGAAGAAAGGTTTATTGTACACAACCAGTACAATATGAAATACAGTACAGTTATACACACAGGTCAATCTAGTAGTGAGTGCCACTAATTGGAAGGTCGGACGTGCTTGCGTCTTCTCGCTCTCACTCCTTCTCCAGTCTCTCGTAGACAGTTGACTTTATAGGTACTTACTACCTATAGTGTAATCATTCATGGGTGTGATTGGTTATTCCAAGACATCTTGACATTTCTAATTCTTGTAGCCGTCTGACTGTCTTTGATCCCTTTTGGTCTATATCAAAATCAAACGTTAAAGGCAATTCCACAGCCATGGGGTTCAAACTACCCCCACTCAGCATGACATATAATGTGTGCAACTGAACAGTTTTTATTAAAGTTAAACAATGCATTTTTGGATATTGAGAAAAAAATCTTAATAGATGACTTGGATGCTCATGGTTAATTGGCGAAATACATTTTTTACAATGATGTACAATGCCAGAGAGACACTCTAGGTAGAGGTTTACAGAGTAAAAGGCACAGTTTATGTGGATATGTGGGGAAGATAATGGTTAACACTGGACTTGAACAAGTTAAGATTATAGTAATTGGGGAAATGAGTCAGTTCTGAAACAGTGGTTTGTGGGAAGATGCTTACTTTATGCAGGATGTGGCATAAGACCATTTTTTTTTTATGTGGGGCATTTCCGAGCTTGTAGGCTTGGGCAAAAAGTCCCCGTAGAACTCACATACATAAGGTTGGCTACTTCCCCAGACATGACCCTTCCCTTTGGCATAGCCTCGTCTGGATTCCTCATAGCCTCGTCTGGATTCCTCTCTGCCCGAAGACAGAGGGTCGATAAGTCATCCCAAACCACCTGAAACGGCAGATCTGGACTGAGTCGGAGGAGAGAGAAGTGGCTTATCTTATTGGCTAGGAAGAAATCCCAGCACGCATTTGTGTGTTTAGTTTATAAATTGGGGAATTATTTTAGTCATTCCTAAATAGATTGGAATTAACACGAATTAAACCCATTCTAATTATTTAATCTTAGACAAATATTCTGAGATGTTGGAGAACCATAACGTTTAAAATTTCAATTTCAAACACCGAAGCAGTGAATGTTTGACAAATGCTTAATTTGGTTAGGCTTTCAACTGGAGGAAGATTTCAGCTGAAACATAAAGACATATTGGCATAGTGAAAGATGCCTTTCAAAAGCTAAGCAAAGTATTAAGCAACAAGAGCATTTCATCATTAATTTCATCATTTGTTGCATAGATAATGGAGAAACTGTTACGTCATATCAGTCCGCTTATATGGCAGTGAATTTTGGACAATCTCCTCACAGACGAAGAAGAGACTTGAATCAACAAAAATATGCTTCTGCAGAAGGATATCATGGACCAAATATGTGAGCATCAACAACGTTCTAGAGACAATGGAAACAAAACAGACATTATACTTAGCATCAGTAGAAGACAGTGGAAATTTCTAGGGTACATAATTGAAGATGGGCTTGGAATATTTGATGCTCACAGGACAGATTAAAGGTTAGAAAGAGACAGATGAAGGCAACATATAAACTACCCGACAAACTTGAGTGAATGGATGGCTAAGCAGGATTTGGGAGAGATGGTGAAAAGATAATTGAGAGCTACAACAGACAGGAAGTTGTGGAGAGCTATGATCGTCAACCTCCTAGAGGGACACAGTACATAGAAGAAGAGAGAGCTTTAGTATCTTATTGATAATTTTCACCATATTTCTATTTATTGACTAGCAGCATGGCCCGGCATTGCCTGTGCTTGATTCAAAAATCATACGACTAATACAGCAATCACTATCACTTGACTTAAAATATTTTTGCCCTTCCTTGCCTTTAAAGGAATGCCCTTTGCCGTGCTGATGTTGCTACATGCCTTACTTCTTGCCTATCTCACACTGCCAATTTTTTCTAAGCTCTATACTAAACATTAAATCTGTTACGAAAAAAGAACTAAACAAAATGAACACAAAACGATCAGCTTAAAAAAAAAGGACTCGTAACTGGAAAAACTGAATGAAAAAAAGAATGTTAACAACAAATACTTTTTCACACCCAAACCAGTTCTGCGGAATCAGAATGAATGAGTCAATTAGAGTAAAGTGCCATGCAGATTTAAATTTTTTCCACTTGTGACGAATGCAGCTTTTGATTTTTTTTTTGCCTGCTAGCATGCTAGTTAGCATTCGTGTCAGTCAGCTGTTGGTTCTCATGCTGGGCAATAGAATCTTCCTGCCTATTCGTGGCAGCCAGCTATAGGCTCTCACTCTGGCCAGTAGAAAATGGCCGCAAACTACATGAAAACTGCCGTAGAAGCATGAAAAAAATCGATTATTTCCACTATCGATGGGAGTTGGGAAATGCAAAGTCGGTGTTGGCCTTCCCGCTAACTTGGAGCATGTGCATGTAAATTTTGGTGCAAATCCATCGAAAATTGCGGCCGTGCATTCGTTACACATACACACACACATCCTGCCTTTTATAGACAGAGATATCAGTCTATTCAGCTATTTCAATTTATTCATGGCAAACTATATCAGTTGATTCATAACAATTATAGATCAATATTAGTCTTTTCATATCGATTTCTTGGAATCTAGATCCTGAGGGCCACAAAGTAAATGTCCCCTTTGTTACTGATGACTACAAAGTGAAATTAAGTTAAACTTAAAAAAAAAAATGGCCACAAAATGTGAATTCAGATAAAAGTGGAACGAGAAGAAAATGATGACTAATTAAAATGTTAATCTTTTTTTTTTTTTTAACCTAAAAATAAAAACTTGGATAATTTATAAGATTTTATTGAAGTTTTCGGAAATTACTTAGTAATAAAAAAAATATTTAAAAATTTTTTTTAGAAATATTTTAAATCTGTCATTGAATTAAAATATAAAATGCGTGAATGCCAACGTACATACACACAAATTGAATGATACTTAAATGGAAACCTATGTCACGAGGGCTAATTTCACATTCTGTCTGACCAAAACCCCTGGGGTATAAAAGGGTATCAGTTGAAATACAAAGCTCTTCAAGTCATTGTTTGATGATTCCTTTGTGAAACTATTAAGAAGACGCTGGTACATTGGGAAAAAGGATTTCAAAATAAACAGGAAAACAAAACAGAAAAACGAGGTTTTGCGATAGACTGAAAAAAAATATACTGCTAACAAGAAAAACGAAGGAAACGCTGTTTTCAATGAACTGAAAGTATACCTATAAGAAACACAAGCAGAAGGAGAGGATGTTTCTTTTCTTTACTCTCCTCACCTCAGTGTTCGGGTGTCGACGACGACTAACGTAGAAACCATATGTTCATGGTTGTAGAGAAAAGTGGACAATCAAAGAGACGGGACCAATGAAAATAGTTCACCGGTTGAAAACCCGGTGAAGGTAAAAGAATATAAATACGGGCGAACAGCACCCGAACATTCTGGTACACGTGACGAAGCAGTCTACACATTACAATGGTCAACTTAATATTAAGTGATGGTATTTTCTTTAATGCCGACTCGACCTGCGCGGTGGAATAGATTATATTTTAACGACTTCAAGTACCCACGACGGCTAAGAACGAATCTCTAGCCAAAATTCGGTCAGTTGACAGGACTTG